GTTGTGATCTAACCGACAGCGTCCGACACCCGGTAGAAAGTAACACGGTTAAGTTACAGCAATAAAGTCCAGCAAGAAAAAGTTTCTTCATTCGAAAATATAGACCTTTAGACCTTTATCTTAAAGATCCAGTATAATAGGATTAACATTCAATCATCTTGAAGATCGTTTCATCATTGACTGTAACCGAATGTGACGTGCTGTTTGAATGCTGAATGGAGAATGACTGACAGGCGCAGAGAGGGAAAAGTTTGTGTTCTTGAATTTAATGACTTAAATATTAATTTCTATATCACATAATAGCTTCAGAACACTAATAATACAGTACACAAAAACTTTATGGTACTTTAGAAAGTTTTTGTGCCTTTGTGCCTAACATAGAATAGTATATATGCACAATATAGAATTTGAATCAGCCTCGTCAAAGATGGCAGTGTCAGAGCCGATACCGATCCTGAGTATCTAATCGGCGCACTTCTTTTCAACAGTCAAATTGAAATTGAAATTGAAATTGCTTGAAACTCAACAGATACATCACATTTATTAGCCAGTAGACATGTGCAAAGTTTCAGAAACGGGCATAGTGCAAGGACTAAATAGCGCCACCTTTTGACAAAAGTGGGGTTGTTAGTTTTATCTACAGTTACAAAAATCGCTATATACATTGTACTCCTCAAGCCGGACAACTTTCTAATACATAGTCATTAGCTCGGACCAAGAGGAAGTCAGATATTTTGGTTTGAATATGGTGAGCCTCTCTCTGAGCCTACGTCCCTGTATGGCAAGCCCTTTTAACATTTAAAAGCTAAGTTTGCCTGTCCGGAATTAACATTGTAGATATCAACAACGTCTTTCTGTCTATTCGTAATTACATTTTGGATAGTTTGTATTATCATTTAAGATATCTGTATAACATAATTGTGACTAGTCGAAATGACAGAGTATGGCAAGCCGTTTTAACATTTAATCATAAAAGGGCCAAAGCCTTCGGCACCGCCACCCGGGTGCATTTAGGTAACTAAAGGAACCGGGGTTGCGGTGCCACCGGCTTGGGCCCGCCATCGCTGCTCGCAGCTATATTTATTATTATTATTTATACGACTATTTGGGCACTTTTGGGGCCCTTAACATGCTCAAAAACTCTTGAAACTTTGCACACGGGTCAGAATCCGCGGCCATCAGGGCCGGGCTGAAGATGGTACCCGGGCGTGGCAGGGGGGCTAGACAGCGCCCCCTGGAACGGGGTCCGAAAACTTGGTCCATAAATCAAACACGCTTGCATGTAATAATATGAAACTCGGTGCACATGTTGATCTCATCGTTCATATATACCTCAAACTATTACTTTTTACCCCAGCCCAACAGGAAGTCGGTTATTTAGGGTTGTTCATAAAACACTCGCAATGGAATTTGAAGTACTCCTCCTAGAGAATTCAAACACACGGCACGAAACTCGGTCAGCATGAAGTCAAGGCATTGAGGATGAAAGTTTGCGAGGGGATTTTTGATATCTCGAACGGTTTGGCCGTGGCGAGGAAACGAAATTATGGCGAGAATCGTGAAACAGGAAGTGTGTCAGAACTTCAGCATACATTAACTGATCTTGATGAAACTTCAGCAGTTTGTTTGCTGTAAGAGGACGATCACATGGATGTGAATATTGTGAGTCAAAGTTATAGCGCCACCAACTGGCAGCAGGAAGTGTGTCACTTTCAAAATGCTTTGAAATCACCCTCTTATTTTTACCCGATTTGCTTCAAACTTAATCTGTATAATGTAAATACATAGCAGATGAAGACCTGTGAATGGATTCTTGATATCTTTGATACTGTTGCCGTGGCAACGCATCAAACTTTAAAATTCTTTTTTTTGATGATTTTGAGACTCTTAGCGGCTTTTGGGGCCCTTAACGGGTTTGAAAACTCTTGAAACTTTGCACACAGGTCAGATCCCACAGCCATCAGAGCCGGGCTGAAGATGGTACCTGGGTGTGGCAGGGGGTCTAGACAGCGCCCCCTGGAACGGGGTCCGAACACTTGGTCCATAAATCAAACACGATTGAATGTAATAATATGAAACTCGGTACACATGTTGATCTCATCGTTTCATCTATACCTCACACTCTTACTTTTTACCCCAGCCAAACAGGAAGTCGGCTATTGAGGTTTGTTTGTAAAACGCTCGCAATGGAATGTGCAATACTCCTCCTAGAGAATTCAAACACACGGCACGAAACTCGGTCAGCATGAAGTCAAGGCATTGAGGATGAAAGTTTGCGAGGGGATTTTTGATATCTCGAACGGTTTGGCCGTGGCGAGGAAACGAAATTATGGCGAGAAACGTGAAACAGGAAGTGTGTTATAACTTCAGCATACATTAACTGATCTTGATGAAACTTCAGCAGTGTGTTCGCTGTAAGAGAACGATCACATGGATGTGACTATTGTGAGTCAAAGTTATAGCGCCACCAACTGGCAGCAGGAAGTGTGTCACTTTCAAAATGCTTTGATATCACCCTTTTATTTTTACCCGATTTGCTTCAAACTTCATCTGTATAATGTAAATATACGGCAGATGTAGACCTGTGAATGGATTCTTGATATCTTTGAAACTGTTGCCGTGGCAACGCATCAAACTTTACCATTCTTTTAGGATGCTTTTGAGACCCTTAGCATGCTTCAAATCGCATGAAACTCGACAGACACATCACATTTATTAGCCAGTAGACATGTGCAAAGTTTCAGAAACGGGCGTGGTGAGGGCTCAGTAGCACCACCTTTTGACAAAAGTGGGGTTGTTAGTTTTAACTAGAGTTACAAAAATCGGTATGTATATTGTACTCCTCGAGCCGGACAACTTTCTAATTGACACTCATTAGCTAGGACCCACAGAAAGTCAGATATCTTTGTTTGAATGTAGAGAAAATCTTAGAATTTTGCCAGTCTCTCAGTGTCTCTCTGTGTGAGTGAGAGGAGGGGCGCCTGTCAGGTTAATTTTAACCCTTTATTTGCTGTGTGCGACTTCTCTGGCATTTTCGGGGGCCTTAACATCCTCTAAAACTCTTGAAACTTTGCACACGGGTCAGAACCCATGGCCATCAGGGCCGGGCTGAAGCTGGTCATCGGGCGTGGCAGGGCGGCTCGACAGCGCCCCCTGGACTGGGATTCGAACATTTGTCCATAAATCAAACACACTTGCGTGAATTAATATGAAACTCGGTACAATTATAGATCACATCAGGCCAAACAACTTTCGTGCTCTAAGTTTTACGACAATTAAAATGGAAGTTGAGAATTATGGGTTGTTTGAATAGTTGTCCTAGGAGAAATACATCAAATTACAACGCATGTGTTTACCAATCACAACCAAACTCGGTGTGCAAGAAGTCAAGACATTGAGGATGAAAGTTTGTGAGGGGATTTTTGATATCTCAAACGGTTTGGCCGTGGCGAGGAAACGAAATTATGGCGAGAAACGTGAAACAGGAAGTGTGTTATAACTTCAGCATACATTAACATATCTTGATGAAACTTCATCAGTGTGTTTGCTGTAAGAGGACGATCACATGGATGTGACTATTTCGAGTCAAAGTTATAGCGCCACCAACTGGCAGCAGGAAGTGTGTCACTTTCAAAATGCTTTGAAATCAACCTCTTATTTTTACCCGATTTGCTTCAAACTTCATCTGTATAATGTAAATACATGGCAGATGAAGACCTGTGAATGGATTCTTGATATCTTTGATACTGTTGCCGTGGCAACGCATCAAACTTTAAAATTCTTTTTTTTTATGATTTTGAGACTCTTAATGGCTTTTGAGGCCCTTAACGGGTTTGAAAACTCTTGAAACTTTGCACACAGGTCATATCCCACAGCCATCAGGCCTGGGCTGAAGATGGTACCCAGGCGTGGCAGGGGGGCTAGACAGCGCCTCCTGGAACGGGGTCCGAAAGCTTGGTCCATAAATCAAACACGCTTGCATGTAATAATATGAATGAAAAACTTCATCTGTATAATGTAAACAGATGAAAAACTTCATCTGTATAATGATGAAAAACAGATGAAAAACTTCATCTGTATAATGTAAATATACGGTAGATGTAGACCTGTGAATGGATTCTTGATATCTTTTAAACTGTTGCCGTGGAAAAGCTTCAAACTTTGAAATTATTTTAGGATGCTTTTGAGACTCTTAGCATGCTTGAAATTGCATGAAACTCAACAGACACATCACATTTATTAGCCAGTAGACATGTGCAAAGTTTCAGAAACGGGCATGGTGCAGGGACTAAATAGCGCCACCTTTTGACAAAAGTGGGGTTGTTATTTTTATCTACAGTTACAAAAATCGTTATATACATTGTACTCCTCAAGCCAGACAACTTTCTAATTCATAGTCATTAGCTCAGACCAAGAGGAAGTCAGATATTTTGGTTTGAATATGGTGAGACTCTCTCTGAGCCTACGTCCGTGTATGGCAAGCCCTTTTAACATTTAAAAGCTAAGTTTGCCTATCCGGAAATTAACATTGTAGATATCAACAATGTCTTTCTGTCTAGTCGTAATTACATTTTGGATAGTTTGTATTATCATTTAAGATATCTGTAACATAATTGTGACTAGTCAAAATGACAGACTATGGCAAGCCGTTTTAACATTTAATCATGAAAGGGCCAAAGCCTTCGGCACCGCCACCCCGGTGCCTTTAGGTAACTAAAGGAGCCGGGGTTGCGGTGCCACCGGCTTGGGCCCGCCATCGCTGCTCGCAGCTATATTTAAAAATGAAATTGTTATATAATTTATATAATATAGTTTTTTCCTCATATTCCTATTTTTTTTAAATATGTTGAAGCATTATCATTCTGTTCGCTTTTGTTTACAATAGATTCAATAAAGCTGATATAAAAAATAATGGAGCCAATTCAAATGATTTTTTTAACCTTTATATAACTCCTTAATATGCTGAATTTAACCAAATGAACAAATCTCTTTTACACGGATCGTTTTATCTTTCTTTTTATTGAAACATATTTAGCAACATGGTCAAATGTGAGACATTAACTTAAGAGAAACAGAGACCACTTATAACAATCTCTCAAAGTGCAAACAAATAAGAAAGAAGCTTGTTCTTTAGTGCAAAATTAATGCAAAATCAAAGCAGTGATTATGTTATCATGAACAGTAGTATTGTGTGGATGGCAGCATGTTATTTTAATAAATCATGATATAGCAATATAAGAATAATGGAAAATATCCACTTGGATGTTAATCTAAGCTTAGATGTTGTTAAGTGGAAACGATCATTTGTGAACAGCATTTAAACAATAAAAATAACCATAACAATGTGCCATGATTCAACACTAACCTGGAGTTAAATTACAGAAACTACTTGAAGTATTTCACGTTTAGCACTTACACACTCCAGAATATCTCAAGTTACTTAAAAGTGGTTCAATTCCAGCTCTGAGATTCATGAAAACCGTACGTAATGTATTAGTATTAGCACTTATCATAAAAAAATACTGCAATTAAGGTGATTTGGAGAAGAAAAAAAATGAAATGTAGTGAAACATAATAAAATGACTCTTCATCCACTGCTGTTTTACAATTGCTTCTTAACTAAGATTTTACATACACAGAACTAATTCGATTCCTGCCAATAAGGGGCCCTGAACCAAATTAATTGCTAATTCTATGAACAGGGGCTCTAAAATATTTTGGTCTCAATATATATGCATATATATTTTTAAATAAAACACAGCAGCTCAATCATGAAACACAAGTAAACCAAATTTCTGCATAGATAATTTTGTAATGTAATTTTTTTTTGTAAATTTACATAATAATGACTTTACAAATCAACCGTTTTTGTTTGAATGTTGTTTCTGTGAGTTTCAAAAAACAAAAACTTTACATACATTACTTGTGAAAGCAAAATGTATAATTTCCGCAAAATGGATGGTTTTACAAAGGACTTGTACTAGTATAAAAGCATACTTGCGTAGACTCTTGTATTCAGTTCACTTTGACATTTTACAGAAAAATAGTTTTACAAATGTGAATGTTTTTGTAGATGAATTTCAAAACAAAAAATAGCTTAAACTATTGTTATGTACATGGTTTATAAAGCATTTCTATGTAAACTGTTGCATTAAATTTAGTGTGAAAACTTGCGTAAAAAAATATTTACAATCTACGTTAATGCTTTTTTGTGCATTCATTTCAAATCACCCTTAAAAAACGTACACAGTTCAGAAAATAATTCTTAAGTAAATTGTTGCAGTGAATTTAGTCTGATAATGTACGTATGTATACACAAATATTATTTTGTACGTAAATTTTAAAACAAAAACTATGATTACTAAATTGTTACATTCAATTCAGTCACGTTTACATCACAAAAATGAATTAGGAGCCAAGTACATGAATATCATAAAATTACTTTAGTTATGTACATAGCTCGTAAAATCATCCTTGTGTAAATTTTCGCATTGAATTGAACGCAACAAGTTAGCAATTACGGTTTACTTTTGTTTTAAAAGTTCATGTTCATTGTTCGTAAAACAATTTTTAATGTAAATTTTCACACTGATTTGAATTCAAAAGAGTTTAAGTGAGTTTTTGTTTTGAAATTCACAAGACAAATTTCTAGTTGGCAAAGTTGTCGAATTTAAGCGAATGCATTTAAAACTAATGATTGAGTTTAAATTCATGCACAAAAACAAAAATGTACATTATTTGTCAAGGTATTTTTATGTAAATTTCCGCATCGAACGAGACAATTTAAGTAAAAATAGCTTGACAATCAATGTACATTTTGGTTGTTTTTAGATTAATTTCAAATGTATATAATTTTTTAAACAAAAACAAAACTATTATTCGATTAAAAATGTCCATAAAAATTGTTTTACGATCAGTGTATACAAACTTCCGAAAATAAAATAGTCGTCAATTTAATTTGACAATTTACATAAAAATTGTTTTATGAACAAAGTACTTGAATGCCGTTTTTTCACATGAATCTCAATTATTCGTAAAAGTATCCTTATGCAAAAAGACTCGCAAGAAGGATGATTTACACAAAAATGTGCAGCGGTCGTGTTTCATGAATGAGCCGTGGAGTGTACATACCTCTACTGTACATTTATCTCGACACAATAATTGACGTTCTTGTGGATCCAGGAAACATTTTCCTTTCATGTCAGACTCTAGGAAAAAAAAACTTGTTAAATTAGAATAACCATACGCACGATATTTTATTCATTAGTCCGACTCGTATATAAATACCTAAAAAAAAAAAAAGGCATAATAACAAACATTCAGTCCTCAAATTGAGACGCTGTCGATTGGCTCCTTCACGGGAAGAGTAAGTCTAGCTTGGGAGCCCATTCCAGGGCAGAGTTTACCACGGCTAAAGCCGCGGCCCCCAGCGCCACAGTCAAACCCATGACCGCTAGCCTCACGAAGCGCCGTCCCGTGGATTGCACGACTGCCACGGTGCTGCGCTGGGCCTCCAGCGTGCGCTTCTGCTGCTCCACCCGTCTCTGCCGGAGAACCGTGTCCGGGCGCTGCTGCGTGGACGCCAACTCAAAGTCTTTGAAGGTGGAGACGGCGGTTCTGGACAGAGAGAATGGTTTGTGAGATATTTGTGGGTGTGAGAAACCCCTTCAGAGCAAGGCTGATAGACTCACTGCTGACTGCGCTCTCTGGCCAGCTCAGACGGAGGGAACTGAACGAACAGATCTCCCGCGCGGCTGATCAGAGTCTCGTACGGCAGGTCCTGCGGGATGCGGGACAGGAGATGGTGCATCATGGCCATGTCACACTCGCAGTCTAGCACCTCCTCCTCTCGATGCAGGACGATCTGCAGGAAGAAGACAGCGCTGCTGGATTACCAATAGATTTACACAGGACACAAGGACGACCAATGAATGTGATAGAATGTCTTTGGATTTCTTTTGAATCTTACAGGCTGGGTTTTAATGGTAGTAGAAATAAACTCTAAAAAGGTCCTTATTTTTAATATTTTTTAATAAGAATACAATTTTATTTAAATCATGATCATAAAAATGTGATTTTTACTATATTAAATACAATACAATATGTGATAGATACAACATTATACGTACAAAATACTTTTTTTTTCATCATGGTAATGGCAATATATGTTTATTTATGTTTTGTATCTGTTACATTAATGAGTGTTTTTTTATTACAGTAATGACATTTTTAAATATTAAATAATATCCCATTTTATGTAATGGTAATGACAATGAGATTTTTGCATTTTTTATGTTTTTCAAAATATGAAATTATATAAATTGCATTATGGTAATGACTATTGGATTTAATTTATATATGTATATAAAATTGTATGGCGTGGTAATGATAATGGTATTTTTTTAATTATGGTAATAATCTTTTATAATAATATCTAACTGCATTATGGTAATGATTAAAAAAATATATTAATTAATATCCAACTGTATGGCATGGTAATGACTGACATTTTTTGCATTATGGTAATAATCTTTTTTTATATTTTTTAATAATATAAAATTGCATTATGGTAATGACTTAAAAAATATATTAATTAATATCCAACTGTACGGCATGGTAATGACAATGACATTTTTTTGCATTATGGTAATAATCATTTTTTTTAAAAAAAAATTTTAATAATATAAAATTGCATTATGGTAATGACTTAAAAAATATATTAATTAATATCCAACTGTATGGCATGGTAATGACAATGACATTTTTTTGCATTATGGTAATAATCTTTTTTTTTAAATATTTTTTTAATAATATAAAATTGCATTATGGTAATGAATTAAAAACATATTAATTATTATCCAACTGTATAGCATGGTAATGACAAAAACATTTTTTTGTATTATGGTAATACATTTTTTTAAATACTAAATAATATATCATTTTATGTTATGTAATCACAATGAGATTTATAAAATATAAAATAATGATTTTAGTTTGCATTATGCTATTGACAATGATTTAAAAATATATATTCAATAATATCCTGTTTTATGTCACAGGAATGATGAGAATTTTTTGCCCTTTGCATTAAAGAAAATTAATTCAACTTTTTTTTTTTTTTACGTTACAATAGGCTACTAACAGTTTGGTGCAAAATCTTAATGGCCCTAAGAATAGGCTTACATTTTTTAATGCAAAATACCTATGCATTTTTAAAGCAACTCTATAGTCTATTAGTATTTAGTTACATACATCAAAAACTCCATGTTTTGAAGTTTAGGTAGACTGCAGATTCGGAACAGTACTTTATTGTTCAATAGACAAATAGTCACGACACAAGAGAATGTGTCAATTATTTATTCAGACTCAACAACACGGCCTAAAAATAGCAGCTAATGCGGCGGCAGTGAAACTGCTGACCCACTTCTGCTGAATATCAGAAACCAGAGACGGCTTTGATGATAACAAACAGTCAAATGAACGCAAACGTACCACAGCAGCAAAGTATATAGGCATAAGGGGATGGCATGCCAGGAAGAAATCGTACAACCGGACCACATGACGGAAATCTGACAGCACGTGTCCGAACCAGGTGATGAGCCAGCTGAGGGCGAAAATCGTGCCCACTTCAGCTCTGTTGAGAAAATGAAGATGCTAATCTCAAACTACTCGAGTGAATAAAGAACAGCGTTCTCATCGTTCTTTCACGTGTTGCATAATGATGAGCAAACAGGATCAATCAAACCATTGTGCTTCAACACAAACAGACAAAGCAAACAAAAAGGGGTGTATACTCACTGCTGCATGAAGTCGTACACTTCAGGGTTCACTCTCTCGATGATGGGCATCAGGTAGTTCAAGATGTGTTTGGTGTTGTCCATAGTGGGGTCCATAAAGTCCCTGAAATGCAAGTTAGATGCACGAAAAAGATCTACTTAGACATTAAAACAAAAAAGGTAGCACTTTACAATCAGGTTTCAGTAGTTCACTACTTTAGTTAATGTGAACTAAGAATGTACAATACTTCTACAGTATTTATTCATCTTTGCTAATGTTAATATTGACATTTACTAATGCATTATTAAAATCAAAGGTTGTATTTGTTAACATTAGTCAATGAACTGTGAACTAACATGAACACTCAATGAACAATTATGTTTTTACTAACTAACATTAACAAAGATTAATAAATACTGTAACAAATGTATTGCTTATTATTAGATCATGTTAGTTAATACATCAACTAATGTTAACTAATGAAACTTATTGTAAAATGTTACCCAAAAAAATTACATTATTAGTAATTACATATTTTGTTCCCTTTATTTTCAGCATAAATTAGGGCACATTCAAGAAATGTATAAATAAATAAAAATGTATATTCATATTTTAAATATAAGTATACAGAAATAAAAGTATAAATACATATTTTCAAATTTAAACAATAATTAATATAATTCAGTTATTTTATATTAATAATAATAATATATTTTTACATTAGCGATGAGAATAAGATTTGTTGTTGGAGGAAATTGCACTTAATGATCTTTAATTAATAAATATTATTATATATAATATCCAATGACGTTTAAATAATAATTAATATATTTAAATAACATATAACAAAATATATGTAGACAATATTTAAGAATAAATAATAATAATATTTTCACATTTCAGTTTTGAGAATGACATTTTTGTTAGAGGGAATTGCACTTAATTATAATGAACAATGCAAAGAATTCAGAATGCAAAACAATTGGCGAAAAAATAAATAAAAAAATAATCATTTCTTTATCACATTCAGGTTCTGGACTGAAAAAAATGGCGGAATTGGTGGGAAAAAAAATAAAATAAATAAAAAATAAAATATATACATAATATATTAAATATTATATTATAATATATTAAATATTATATATATATATATATATATATATATATATACACATACACACACACACACACACACACACATATATATATATATATATATATCCCATTCAGGTTCTGGACCGTTTTATTTGTGTGTTCCTGGCCCACCTGAGATGGTGAGTGGAGAGTTTCTCCACCAGGGCAGTGGCAAGTCGTTCCCCGAGCACCAGGAGGAAGGTCACCACAATGTCATGGTAACCCTGATAATAGTGCAGCTGAGGGTTTTTCGCGAGCACCCGCAGAATAATATCAGTCAGCTCCTCCTGAAGTCCCTCGCGCTGCTCGTCTGGCATCCCTGCGTACGTGAAACACAGAAAGCATCTTTAGACATGTACAGAGCCCGGCTCCAGATCCAGAAGAAGCAGCGCTGCTCAGCTCACCTGGAGGAAAGCGTCTGAGGGATCTCTGGACGTCCAGAAGCACTTGGTTGAAGTCCTTGTTGTTGTCTCGATCGACCGTCTCTGAAGAATGAAAACTTGATTAACATCTGCAAATGAATTCCCCTGGGATGTCCAAGCAATCGCTCTTACCTAGTTGCTCAGGTATGTTGTCTACAGACACGTTGAGCAGTCTGGGCCACACCTGGCGGCGGATCTCATCGGTCAGAAGACCTCCTTCACTGATGGCCATGCGCCTCAGAGCGGGCACATCCACGGGCGTCCCGTTCAGGGCCTGCGTGATCTCCGCCATCTTCCTCTTCCGTCGGGACTCGCCATCTGCAAACATGAAGTCTGGAGTCAGTCTCTGAATACTGCGCTTCCTCACACAGCACTGAGTTTACTGGAAATGAACATGTTGACTAAGATCTTCACCCTTTCTCCTTCTTTTACGCAAGTCTTTTTGACACAACAGCCATTCCCAGAGGGACAGTCAGATTAAAAGGCTAGACATTGTCTTGAATGGGAACTATTTTAGTCTGGCTCACAAAATACACTCACGTCCCAAACATATGAAGCAGTTTGCATTTGTGAAAATTATTTTTAGAGTGCGTAGTCTAATATGCCACACATTTGGGGATGATGATTAATGTATTCTCTGAAAATATTTCAATAATTTTATGAATAGGTACTTAAGATATAAGGCCAGTAAATACAAAAGATAAGTCACAGGACACTCCCACAGGAAAAACTAAATTATATGTATTTAAAAGATTATGAGGCAGAAATAAATTGTTTCCACACCCAAAGAAAATAATATTTTTTATATGTAGTAGTCAAAACCTTTCATCAAAGTTACATGAATTTTGAACAATAACCATTCTTGTCTTAGGACAACTTTGATAAAATGTTTTGATCCACTTCAAATGTTGACAATTATATATAAATATTCTTATATCTATCAGACAAATACACATATGTATAATTTATATCGACATTTTTATGTATTGATCAATCAATCTCTCTCTCTCTCTCTCTCTCTCTCTCTCTCTCTCTCTCTCTATATATATATATATATATATATATATAGTCTAGATAAATAAATTATAGATAGATACATAGATAAGACAGATAGTATGATAAATAGATGATGGATGGATGGACGGAGTGACAGTAAGATATACAGATAGATAAAACTACAATGTAAAAGATAGATAATTCATTTTTAAATTAAATTTTCTACCTCATAAGGTGTACAAACCTCTAAAATTAGTTTAGCAAAAACTGTAACATTGAAACAAGCATCTTTTATCGACAGCTAAAGAAGTGAAAAGCTCCCATCATGTCATAACTGAACACACTTTACACTTAAACACACACCTTGTTGTCCGAGTCCATTGAGCGAGGAAGAAGCTCCGACACTGCGTGACTTCTTCATCCTGTCGCTAATGTCTGTCCCTTTCCTCGGGTTCAAGTCCAGCTACATCATTTTATTTCAATGCAATGCGAACAGTTGATGGGCTTTTCCTTTAGCTTGACAGCTAACCTACAGGCCACATCACCTCGTTAGCTGTGTAAACGCATGTCAAATGAAAAGCCTGAGTCTCTCCGGTCTCTTTTACTCATGTCAAGGGTTTTAAATCAGTGTGTTCCGCCGAACCGACCCGACCCGGGACCTCTGAGTCTCTTTTAGTGTCATTTCATGATGTGAATCTTTTCAGAAGCTCCAGCTGTAGTATCATCTGGGTTAATGTTTACGTGTGAGTGAAGGATTATGGGAGTTGTTGTTGTATTGGAAAAAGGCGGTGTCCAACCAACCATTCAAAATAAAAGTCCAGATAATAAAAACAAAAAACAAACAATCACCCCCCACCCCCCTCCCTTTTTTTTGTCCTACCCCCTAGAAACTGACTGTAACAAGCATGTACAAATTACAACAAGCATGTAATTTATGATATACACATTTCCTGGTTTAAATAAATACATAAATAAAATCATAGACGATTGTATCACTCATATAAAAAAAAACAGTCAACGCTAGTTGGTCAGCTTTGAGGTCTCTTTGATTAAAAAAAATATATAATTTAAAGAAACCTTTATTATGAAATTTCGTTTTAAAATACTCTCAGGCATTTTTGTCCCTCCACGCTTTCCATATGTTTTCACTCTTCCCTGCTTGTCATGTGAGTCCAGTGATTGCCACAACATTGTGAGAATATTGACTTCATCCAAAACATATTTCATTTTTTGTTACATTAACGTTAAATAGACAAAATGCTTTCCCGCTTATTGAAAGAACACCAAACGAAACAAAACGAACGGAAAGAGTTGCAAGGTATGTGTTTCTATATATGTCTGCCGACTAGCTTTGGCCCTTTGGTACAACTCAATTGTAATTGTCTGTTTTATAGTTATGTATTTAAGAAAATATGATGGTAATTAATGTTCACTTGATTCGCAAACTCTATCCTGCATCCATCTAACTTAGTCGTTGAAATTTGCTTTTATTGTTAATACCATGGAGGACCATTTATGGAAAGAAATGCGACGAGTTTAATTTTATTTATTCACTTTAGATTTAGATTTAATTGATTTAAATTGCATTAAAATACGTCTAAATAAGTATAAATTGCTGCTAAATTGTTACATAAACAAGTGTTCTTTAAAATAAAGAAAAATACATAATAAAAGTGTTAAAAGAAAAGAAAAGAAATGACAGTATGTTAAGATTATGCAGTACTTGGTCAAGTAATAAAACTCTTTTTTATTATACTGTACAGAGAGACGAAGACGAGAGGCCATAACAGCTGCAACATGTTTAACAGAAGCCCTGGTGGATCATCTAAACGTGGGGTGAGCCCGATACATTTATATGTTTGTAAAGGTGTTATTTAATGCACAGGATTATACGGTCAGTTCATGTGATCACTGCGGTCATAATCCAAGTCTTTGTGCCGCTGTTATGACGAAACTGTGCAAAAGCAGCTTAGAAGCGTACGGTTGGATGCAACGGAGCATTATTCTCGCAACAGCCGACGTGGGAATGAAAATGTGTATATGATGCTTTCATGTCGTCAGAGTAAGAGAAGCTACTTCTCTTCAAGGTAATGAACAACTCAAGAAATTCTAGGTGTAAATGACTTTCTTATTTCAGCCAAACACAATCAGAGTTATACTCAAACATATCCTGGCTCTTCTAAGCTTTATAATGGGAGTGAAAAGTAACTGAGATTTTGAAGAGCATCCATCCATCCATCATAAAGTAATCCATACGGCTCCAGGCAGGCCTTCTGAAGCGAAGCAATGTGTTTTTGTAAGAAAAATATTCATATTTATTATGAACTATAATCACTAGCTTCCGGTAATTTACATACACGGGTCTAGCTCTGGTGGAAGAGTGACCTATGTATGTTTTCTATGTATCAATGGTTCATGTCCCTCATAATTATGCATTTTTAACAAGTTGGAGTTTAGTTGTAAGTAACTGAACACTTTTTACAAGTCGTAATTACAACAAAGAGTGAATGCACCAAAAGAAATCTTTCTCAGGGTGGCGCAGGCCTACGTCAATCAGCGCAAGCTGGACCATGAGGTGAAGACGCTGCAGGTTCAGGCCAGTCAGTTCTCCAAGCAGACGGCCCAGTGGATCAGCATGGTGGAGAACTTCAACCAGGCCTTAAAAGTACAGTGATTCATGTTTTTCATAATTTAGTGTTGCAGTCAGTCAGTTTCTCTGAAGTTTCATGAGCGATTCTTCTTTCACAGGAAATCGGAGACGTGGAGAACTGGGCGAGAAGTATCGAGATGGACATGCGGACGATCGCGACAGCTCTGGAGTACGTGCATAAAGGCCCGGTTCAGCCCGCGTCCTCATGAGTGGATTGACTGAAACTCAAAGGCTTTTCCTTTGAACTTGAACTTGGACTCTGTTGTTTGAGACATTTGTGTCTCATTTATTCTAGTAAAGAACTGCTGGAATAGTTTATCTATAATTTGGTTCAATTTTTTTTATTCTCGTTTTATGTAATATCAATATGCGTGCGTAATAAAAACAAATACTTGTGCTATAACTGCTGCGTTGGAACATGTTTTTGCAGTTACGGTCATATTTTACCCCCAAAAGTTCTGGGTTTCATCAGTGATTCACTTCCCTGCTTTTCACTTCAAACATTTAGCAAATATTTTCCATTCAGCCTCAGTAAGGAACATATAGTACCACGATTACAAACTTGTCCTGTTCTTTTTTTGTGGGATTTCGCAGTTTTCTAATTTGTATTAACCCATTTTAAGCAGGGCTTGCGGTGTGATTCTACATAATCCCAATTTCTACAATAAGGTCTCTCAGCCTCATAGGATTAACTTTATGTATGTAAGGAGAAAAAACTAAGACGTAAAACAAAGTGTGGCTGTTTTAAGTCCACAACATGCCAGATTTCATTCACATATTTGTCCCATGGGACTCCATATGATATGATTTCATCTTGAGATTGTATTGAGGCTTCAAATCAATTTTCACTGTGATTTTTAGGCATATAAAGTAAAAGACCCCCCCCCCCCATTATATAAATGTGTTTATATAATATTTTTTATACATTTCTAAAATCTATTTTTGCAATTAAAGTTCTGCAATTTTTAAATTTCTATAAAAAATTAGAAAATGTTTTTTTTATATTTGTTTTCATTAATATATTATGTATTGTTAATATTTGTATTTAATTTTTAATTTAATTTATATTATTTTATTTTTTAAGTCCAATTTTTCCAAAAGGGATAGTTCACCCTAAAATGAAAATTTTGTCATCATTTACTCACTTACAAGCCTGTTTGCATTTCTTTCATCTGTTGAACACAAAGGAATATATTTGAAGAATGTTAGTAACCGGACACTTGATGGACCCCATTGACTTCCATAGTATTTTCCCCTCATAATATGGAAGTCTATGGGGACCAGCAACTGTTTGGTTACTAACATTCTTCAAAATATCTTCCTTTGTGTTCATTAAGAGAAAGAAACTCATACAGGTTTGATGACAGAGTTTTAATTTTTGGTTGAACTATCCCTTTAACTGATATGAGGTCATAAAAACACCATCTCTAATAATTTGACCAAAGATACAAATAGGTTAAATCCGTTGCAGACAAAAATGTCACATCATTGGACGCCCCTGTCAATGCTTAAAATTTCCTGTCAACCACCCAAAAACTAATTCAATCAACCTAAATATAATTAGAATTGGCATGTTTCTCCTTAAAAAGTTCCTCCCAGCCCAGCTATTTAGGGATCACATTTACACAAGCACACAAAAAATGACCAAACAGCAATACACTGAGTTTGGAGATTAGAAATTGTGGCCCTGTCTTAGAGGATCAGCTTAAGGGATAAATCTCGGACGCAGACCCACTTCAGATCACTCACCAAACGAGTCCAGGACCTGCAGCTCCAGACCCAAGAAGGGAAAAGGTAAGTCTTGATTACTTACTAACTTGATAGCAGAGTTACTTATTTTTTTCTTCAATTGATGTTTTTAACAATCCGATGCGAATTATCATTTATTTAAATGTACACTGTACAACTTTTTGCAACAATTAGTTATAACAACTTAAAATTTGTTGAGATAACTTAAATATCAAACTAAAGTTAACAAAACGTATTATTTTAAGTCAAGCACAAACACATAATTTTTTAAGTTGAAACAACACATGATTTCTTATTCTAATGTTAAATTTAAGTTGTGATAATCATTTTTTACAATGTGAATTAAGTATTCGTTTAGAGAAAAAGCTAAATAATTGGCTTAAGATTCTCCTAAAATGACAGACTAAACATTTTTACTAAAGAACAATTCATTTTGAATTATTAATCAGGCTAATTGGAGTAATTGTATAATCTCATGATTTATGTAAAACCAGTTTCCCTTTTTTTTTTTTGTTTTTTTTTTTTGGATATGATATGACTGGTTTAGAAGTTTTAGTTAATAACTATGTTTTTATAGCAATTTCATATCATCACCTAAGGAATATTTAATATTGTAAAATATTGTGTGCGTTTAATACCAGAACGCACATTTATAATTGCCATTACTTAAGCCTTTGATAAAAGCCCTGTTTGTTTGATCATTAATTAGCATTCATTTCTCAAAGCATCGTGTGTGTAGAAGCTTAAGTCTCTCTACGCTTGGTTTTGTTCTCTTGGTTGTGTCATACCACAGAGATGAATCCTCAACCTTTCTCTTTGCTAATTAGTCTTTGAAGCTAATAGGTTTTGCATTGTGAGAAGCTTAAAGTGCCTCTGTGGTGCTGGATTTTCCATTTTTTTCGTACACAATCGATCTCGGCATTTTCTAAACCTCTACGCTGATTCTAAAGTCTCCCTTTGTTTGATAAGAGCCTTAGCTCAAGATTTCTCTTGTGCTCTGAAAAACGTGTTGAGTCACGAGTCAATAGCGTTCAATGAGCCTCCAAAAAACATGTTATGTAATTTTAGCATTCAAATCTTAGTATTGTTTTTTTTTTTGTGGGATAAATTAAAACAATACTGTTTTTAGTAGTAATCAGCTCAAACTGATTTATGCAAACGTTTTACTTTCATTGATTGATGGTTTTACGCAACCAAATCAACTGAAGATGATAGAAGAGAATGTACTGTATATGTGATGAGAATTTCTACAAACAAATTTGCCATATCTGATACTAATAAAATATTCAGAATATTGTAGAAATGTAGAATATTTGAGAAGTTCCTATATGTATCCTATCTCCGTTGGATTAGCCAATTGTGGCGATTAAAGGAATTGCACCCTGACGCTTCCTGCACTAATCACACCTGAACTGTTGTGTTTTTTTCTTTTACGTTCAAGCAATTGTTTACAAAAAATCTTCACAGAATCACTCAGGAGGCAAAAAAGATGTTTGAGTTCTTGAGGTAAGAACTACACTCTAAAAAAAATGCTGGGTTGTTTTCAACCCAAATATGGACAAACCCAAAATGTTGGGTTAAAAATGTAATTAAAATTTTAAACCCGACTTCAACGTTCACTTTCAACTGTAAATTTTTAACCCAACACTTGAGTTTGTCCATATTTGACCCAAATTTGGGTTGAAACAACCCAGCATTTTTTAGAGTGTACACTACTATCAAAACACAAGCAAATAAATCAACAAAACTATAAAAAAAATATCATGAAATTTTGTTTATACTCATGTGCTCGCAGTAACGATTGTTCGTGGACGTGCTGCTTGAGTGCGTTTGCGGTGCTGTGGGTTCTGGTGTGGTTCTACCGGGACAACCTTGAGATTTCCAAGGTCTCAGAGAAGCACGTCTTTGTGACCGGTTGTGACACTGGTTTCGGAAACCTACTGTGTAAACGCCTGGACAAACGTGGTTTCCGCGTCCTAGCCGGATGTCTCACGGAAAAGGGCGCGGACGATCTGAAGAGGGCGACGGGACCTTTCCTGAAGACCTGCATCTTGGATGTGACCAGCACGGCCAGCATTCAGAAGGCTGTGGAATGGACCAAAACAGAAGTTGGAGATAAAGGTGTGTTTCAGGGGAACACATGAAATAAAGGTTTTAGAGATGAGTTTGACATCTTTGTTCTTAACATTCCAGGACTTTGGGGTTTGGTGAACAATGCCGGTCGTGCTCTTCCAATGGGACCATCTGAGTGGATGAAACTCGAAGACTTTGAAAGCACGCTCAAAGTCAACATGACTGGCGTGATCGCGATGACCATGAACTTCTTACCTCTTGTGAAAAAGGCCCGTGGAAGAGTGGTGAACGTGGCGTCAGTGTTGGGTAGAGTGGCAGCTAATGGCGGCGGTTATTGCATCTCGAAGTTCGCAGTGGAGAGCTTCTCCGACTGTCTCAGGTATCACTCTTCAAAAGCTCATTTCCATCCACCAATTGTGCGAAATTTTGGATATCACATAAAAAAAACTCTATTAAGGTTGGAAATGTTTGATCTGATAAGACGACATGCACATACACTACTATAGAAACATTTTTATTGAATAAATCCCTCAATCTGCAACAAAAATAATATGATGGTGGACCAATTTTATCGCACAGCATCTCAAATGTTGGTTTGATCATTCTGAACGGCCTGAGCCAAAGTCTGTCATCAGAATGGTCGGGTACAATGGGTTTTTCTTTAAAGATATTTTGCGCTAGTTTCCCATGAAGTGACGATTTTGTTCTCTTGAGCAAAAGTTGTATGCGTTATTCTAGTTTTTGTGCATCAGCACCTTTGGATGGAATGAAAGATCTCCCAATTAAAGGGATACTCCACTTTTTTTGGAAATAGGCTCATTTTACAACTCCCCCAGAGTTGAACAGTTGTGTTTTACCGTTTTCGAATCCCTTCAGCCGATTTTATGTTATTTAGAAGAATATCAGAAACCAGACAGTTTCTGGTCTTATTGACTTCCATAGTATATATTTTTTCCTACTATGGAAGTCAATGGGACCAGAAACTGTCTTACTGATCAGAAAATCGGCTGAATGGACTCGAAAACGTTAAAACTCAACAGTTTAACTCTGAGCCTATTTCCAAAAAAAGTGGAGTATCCATTTAAAGGTCTGTGATAAAAAACAAAACAAATTGTTTATGTGTTGGTTTCGACCTTTGACACCAGCACTTCCTGTAATTTCAGGAGAGACATCCAGAATTTTGGGGTCAAAGTGTGCATCATCGAACCTGGTTTCTTCAAGACGCAGGTGACCAGCTTGGAGCCCATCGAGAGGGAACTTCATCGCCTCTGGGACCAACTGACCCCTGAAGTGAAAGAGAGTTACGGAGACAAATACTTGGATAAATGTATGTTATTTACGCAAACGATAACCATTTCTCCATTTATTCAAACATAGTCCATTGAGATGCTCTTTGTTTCTCCAGACATCAATATCCAGAGGCTGATCATGAACAACATATGCGACTCTGACCTCAGTAAAGTGACCAACTGCATGGAACACGCCCTGCTGTCCGCCCACCCAAGAACACGCTACAGTGCAGGCTGGGATGCCAAGCTCCTGTGGATCCCCTTGTCTTATATGCCCGCTTGCTTTGTAGAT